TAGTTCATGGTCCGTTGCTGTAATAGTGTAATTTTAATGAATTGTGTAATGGAAAGCTGACTCAGGAGTTCCTGAAGATGACAAGATCTTTCTTTGGCTCTGTGGCATGCTGGTGCTGTGTCTTTCTGGTTTCCTGATTCTCAGAGTTCATTTTTAGTATCATAATTCCATTTACTTCCCAGACGACATTTATTTTATAGAGCAAAATAAAATGAAGAACGATGCCTCCTGAAGCTGTGTGTGTCAAGGTGACTGTCCCTCATAACATTAGGGTCCAGATCCAATGGCTTGTCTCTTCACTTCCATTTCATATTCCTGCTATGATAGCAATGTTGTTGCCTTTCAGTTGGCCTAAGACATGTAGGAGTGCTTGAAACCTGTAACCTGTAGTTTGCCCAAGGAGCTGGAAAATCACAAAAAAATGGTAGAAATGAGAAAGAACCTAACATATACTTAACATTTAAACTAGATTTGAAGGGGAAAAGGGACAAAAACATGCTTGCCAGTGATAAGCAATGGGATGGCAAACCAAAACTTGAGGGAACTGAGCACTAGAGAGATCTCTCAGTCTGTTCCATGAGTTGTTGGCTACACTGAAGCACACTTGAAATGTTTCTATACCAATACAATGTACCATGAGGAACAAGCAAGAAGAGCTCGAAACTTTGGCCCAGTGTTCGACTGATCTGTTTGCTCCCTTCCATCTTCAGTAACAAGGACAGACTTAAGGAACAAAGACACCAAATTTAAAGAATAAGTATTTAATTTTACTATAGTGTAAAATAATAAAGAAGTACAAAAGAAGGAGTGGCTTATGGAAGGATACACTTAGAAATGCATCTAATCATTACTACAAAGAAAGTCTTATAGTGACTATAAGAGAGATTTGTCACTAGTTACCCTAAATTCATTACCATAATCATTATCCAGACTGCACTTCAGTGGGACAGGCCCCTGATCACAGCAAAGATCTGGAGAACCCCTTCCCAGTAACTGGGAAATTCTACGCAGTGCATCCACTTGAGGCCTCCATCTTTGCAGTGAGAGGCTCCAGCTTATATAGTGTTAAACAAACCAGCTTACATCACTTGATTGCTGTAGAAAAACAATATCTGGCTTTATTCTCCCCCTGGTTTTCCCCTTGGGCCTGGCCAGGACCCAAGGCAAATTGAGGGAGTCAGATTGGACTAGCTTCTATCCAATGCCTCATGGCCTTGACTAGTCTCTAAAAACAGAGCTTATGGCTGGTATCTCAAATATGAACCAGCTGCTACCCTGTGAGGCCTGCTGTGCTTGTGGCCTTGGCTGAAAAGGCATATTTATAACACATACAGACCTTACTAATTATTGATAATATGCTGTGCTAACAAGCATAAATGTGTGTTCTTAAAGCATTACTAAGGATTATATAGCATCTTGGTTAATGAGCAAATATATGGCTAAATACAATACTAGGCTAAATATAATATTAGGTTGGAGAGTTCATCTTACAGGTCAGCTTTGGCTTAGGGCCAGTCCTTCAGGCCCTAGCATTACACCGTGTCCCAGAGTTACAACGTCGCTGTCATAAGTGAAACCTGATGGGATGAGACTTGTGGCTGGAGTGCCCTGTTGGATGGTTACAGGTTCTTCAGGAGGGATAGGCAGGGCAGGTGAGGCGGTGTGGCATGGGGTATGCAATGGAGGGGCTGGAATGTATGGAGGTTACAGTTGGTAATGACGCAGTTGAAAGCCTCTGTCAAGGAATAAGGGACAAACAAATAATGTAGATGTCATTGTGGGAGTCTACTATAGATCATCTAGCTAGGACAATGACATCGATGCATTCTTCAAGGATCTAAGGGACAACTCCAAATCAACTGCTCATGTCCTTATGAGTGACTTCAGCTTGCCAGATGTTAACTGGGAACACAACACAGCTGGCACAAACAGGTCCAGGGGATTGCTAAGACACCTGGATGTTAACTTCATGTACAGATACTAAGAAAGTTCACTAAGAAAGGACATAGAATCATAGAATATGCTGAGTGGAAGGGACCCATCAGGATCACTGATCCAACTCCTGGCCCTGAACAGGACACAATCCCACTGTGTGCCTGAGAGCATTGTCCAAATCCTTCTTGAACTCAGACAGGCTTCGTGCTGTGACCACTTCCCTGGGGAGCCTGTTCCAGTGCTCAACCACCCTTTGGGTGAAAAAACTTTTTCTGATGTCTGACCTAAACCTCCCCTGATACAATTTCTGGTCATTCCCTTGAGTTCTGTCACTGGTCACCACAGTGAAGAGATCAGTGCCTGCCCTTCCTCATCCCCCTTTGAGGATATTGAAGACCACCGTGAGGTCTCTCCTCATTCTCCTTCAGGATGAGCAAACCAAGTGTCCTCAGGTCCTCATAAGGCTTCCCCTCCAGAGCCTTCACCATCCTTGTGGCCCTTTTCTAATGGCTTAATGTTTTTCTTATATTGTGGTGCCCTAAACTGCTCAAGTGAGGCATGGAATGAAGTTGTGTCAGGGCAGGTTTAGGTTGGATATTAGGAAAAGGCTTTTCACAGGAAGAGTGGCTGAGCACTGGAACAGATTCCCCAGGGGAGTGGTCACAACACCAAGCCTATCTGAGTTCAAGAAGCATTTGGACAGTGCCCTTGGGCACATGGTGGGATTCTTGGGATGTCCTGTTCAGGGCCAGGAGTTGGACTCAATGATCCTTGTGAGTCCCTTCCAACTCAGGATATTCCATGATTCTGTCAATACT